TTTTACAGAGTTGAAGAGAGAGGGATAGAGAGTTAGAAACATCGATGAGAGAGAATCATCAATCAGCTGCCTCTTAGACACTCCCCACTGGGGATGCGCCCGCAACCAAGGTACATGCCCTTGACCGGAATTGAACTTGGAACCCTTCAGTCCGCAGACCAACGCTCTATCCACTGAGCCAAACCGGTGAGTCTCATTATTTAAAAGGGCTTTATCAATGGCAGCAAACCAGAGTGCTGCAGAAGTTTTAAATCATGCACCTCTTTTCTGTTAGACTGTCAAATAAAAAACAAATGACAACAGCCAATATAATAATAACTGGTGTGAATGAATCAATAATATACATATACTTTTGTCAGATCAGCAAAATATATTTTTTTTTTGTGCCACAAAACTTTAGTTATTAGATTATGTGTGCCGTGAGATGAAAAAGGTTGAAAATCACACTATCTATGGCATAGTTCAACACTATCACCAATTACTGAATCTATACTGCATAACTAAGGACAGAACCCCGTTACCCATGACCCAATCCAGCCAAAGGCATTACTGTGTGACTGGGTAGGAAAACCAGCAGTAACACTAAATTCCTGTGCCTGTACCTGTAAAATGTTTAGGAAGCACTGTGTACAAGTATAAATGCTACACTGCATGCTTAAACCAAATAACAATTTTAGGAATTCCTTCCATTGATCTTTGCTCTCACAACAAAGTTTACCACTAGGTGGCAGAAGTACATTAAGAAGGTGATGTTTCTACAATGCTTTATAAATAAAGGTAGACTGACATTTTCCAACCCCTTTTTATAGTAATAAAAAATGTGTTAAACTGCTTAGAGTTTAAAAATATATATATTTTGTTGCTTTCTGAGTGGATAGTTACAAATAAATGATTTTAAATAAAAATTAATCACTTGCTGAAAATACATTATATATTAAATATCATAAGCAGATTTCAACTTTTTTGTACTCAATAATAGCCACAACTTAAACGAGCTTTGCACATGAAAACAGAACTATACTATCAATGCATTAAAAAATACACTGTACATTAAGATACAGTAAAGATTGAAATTTAATTTTGTGTAATGCTATCAAAGGTAAATAAAAACTGCTTTTAACCCATGAAGGTTGGAATTCTTGCGTTTTGCAAGGTGTTTTTTTATTGTTTTTACTTGTTCATTTGTTTCTAAATGTCAAAATCAAAAAGAAAATCTGGGTCTTCTAACCTCTGGAATTGCACCAAATAAATTTGTTGTTTAAGCAAAAATAATAAATAAATAAATAAATAAATAAATAAGAGAAAGTTTTAGGTTATATTTTACAAGCACTTCTCTTAAAGTAAAACTAAAGATTACGAATACATAAAATAAAAATTGGGCAAAATTATCATTTTTTTTCTCCTTTTGACATTTACATTAAAAATACAAGAGGAAGCTTGATGTGCTATATAAGAATTTTGAGGATATGAATACAACTTAAAAATGTGATGACTATCTTGAGGCAATTTGTAGAATTATCTATCTATATATGGTATTTTAATAACTTGTGTCCATCTGCTTTCTATATTTGGTGGTCCCTTGTGGATAGAAATTAAATCATATGTAATTAAGAATAACAAATATACTGATCAAATCACTGGGGAAGTAATTGAGAAACTAACCCTTGCATGGCCTTGGCCGAGTAACTCAGTTGGTTAGAGTATTGCTCTGATACACCAAGGTTGTGGGTTCAATCCCTGGTCATGGCACATACAAGAATAAACCAATCCTATATAATAAAAGCCTAGAGATGCAAATCAAAACAACAATGCGGTACCATCTCACACCTGTCAGAATAGCCAACATCAACAAATCAACAAACGACAAGTGTTGGCGAGGTTGCGGAGAAAAAGGAACCCTTGTGCACTGCTGGTGGGAATGCAGACTGGTGCAACCACTGTGGAGAACAGTATGGAGTTTCCTCAAAAAACTGAAAATGGAACTCCCATTTGACCCAGTAATCCCACTCCTAGGAATATATCCCAAGAAACTAGAAACACCAATCAGAAAGGATATATGCACCCCTATATTCATAGCAGCACAATCTACAATAGCTAGAATCTGGAAACAGCCTAGGTGCCCGCCAGCAGATGATTGGACAAAAAACTATGGTACATCTACACAATGGAATACTATGCTGCCATAAAAAAGAAGGAATTCTCATCATTTGCAGCAACCTGGATAGAACTAGAGAACATCATGCTGAGTGAAATAAGCCAGTCAATGAAAGAGAAATACCACATGACCTCACTCATTTATGGATATTAAAGAACATTATAAACTGATGAACCAAAAGACAGATATAAAGACAGTAAAGCAACAAGCAGACTGTCAAATTACAGGGGGAGGGTAGGGAGATCTGGGGGAGATAAGAGATCAACTGAAAGACTTGTATACATGCATATAAGTACAACCAATGGACACAAAACTCTGGGGAGGGAGGGTACGTATGGGAGGGGAGGCAATGTTAAAATATGTACACAGATAATAATTTAATAAAATAATGATAATAATAATAATAATAATAATAATAATAATAAAAGCCTAAGTGGCATCACACCCTCTTGCGATGCCCTTGCGTGATGTCGCCACAAGATGGCCGTGCGCACAGCCTGGTGGCTGCTCCACACAGTGAGGCCTGGGGGTCCCACGGGTCTGCACAGGAGAGGAGTCCAGTCCCGGTGTCTCTGCCACCTCGTGCAGAAAAGGCAGGTGGAGGCAGGGAGGGCATTTGGGGGTGATCAGGCCAGCAGGGAGGGATTTGGGGGCAATCAGGCCCCTGTGGGGGAGGGCAGTTGGGGGCAATCAGGCCAGCAGAGGAGGGCGATCAGGCCGGCAGGGGAGCAGTTAGGCATCAATCAGGCCGGCAGGGGAGTGGTTAGGGGGTGATCAGGCTGGCAGGCAGAAGCGGTTAGGGGCAATCAGACAAATAGGTGAGTGGTTAGGAGCCAGCAGTCCGGATTGTGAGAGAGATATCCAACTGCTGGGATCGGAGCTAAACCAGCAGTTGACATCTCCGAGAGGTCCCAGATTGGAGAGGGTGCAGGCCACAGCTGGTGGGAATGCAGACTAATGCAGCCATTATGGAAAACAGTATGGAGTTTCCTCAAAAAGAAATTAAAATATGGAACTGCCATTTGACCCAGTATCCCACTTCTAGGAATATATCCTATGAAACCCAAAACACCAATTAGAAAGAATGTGAACCTCTATGTTTATAGCAGCACAATTTACAATAGCTAAAATCAGGAAACAGCCCAAGTACCCATCAGTAGATTAGCAGATAAAAAAGCTGTGGTACATTTATATCATGGAATACTATACAGCAATAAAAAGAAGGATCTCTTACCCTTTGAGACAGCATGGAGGGACCTGGAGAATATCATGCTAAGTGAAATGAGTCAGTCAGAGAAAAACAAGTATCACATGTTCTCACTCATATGTAGGATCTAATTAACAAAATAAACTAATGAACGGAGTGGATCCAGAAACATGGAAGCATGGAACAGAGCTATGAATCTGAGGGGAAGGTGGGGAGGGTGGGTATTAGATGGGAGCTAATCAACCAAAGACCTTATATGCATGTATGTATAACCCATGGACACAGACAATAGGATGGTGAAGGCCTGGGGCTGGGGGCAGGGATCGGCTGGAGAGAGTCGATGGAGGGGGAAAAAGAGGAGGGACATATGTGATAGGTTCAACAATAAAGATTTTTTTTTAATGGACAGTCCATAAGCTGTGCAGCTTGCAAACGATGTAGCACAATCATTTATCAGCAGCATTAAGCCAAAACTGAGTTCCTCTTTAGGAATCAGGGGGAAGAAACAGTTGCTAGGGAATTATTTTCTATAGCAAGCACCAATTTGCACCTGCAAAATAGTCTAGAAATATATGTGAAGAATAATTTGCAATATATACACATGAATGCATTTGCTCATCTTTCAGCTCTGTAAGGTAATATTACCGAATGCATTTATAAAGTGAAAATTATACAGTGAGGTAAGCTGTCTGGCTTGATAGGATATGAAAAGAACATTGCTTTTGTAGCCTTGACAGTTATTAGTTGATTCAATTCATGAGATGCTTATGTTCTACTCTAAAAATAAGTTCAATACCATCATATAAGTTGCTTTGAACCAGCACTGCTAAGGGCTTGACTGGTATCAAACTGCACATTTATAATTCATTCCTAGGAAATAAAAAAGACTTAGAACACATAACGGTCTTAGCACAAAGAATCTCATTTATATGCACTCAGTTGAAAAGGATACAGAAACCATTTAAAATATAAAGAGGAGAAGTATGTGGGTAATAACAAATGTAACAAAAATAAAAATTCTGAGAGCCCCTGTTAGCTGCTTGGAATGGAAGACAGGTCTTTTTCAACTACCCCATCCCCACCTTCCAATCTAGCCACATAGTTGGTTCTCAATAAATATCTTTTGAACAGATGGTGTGGTAAGTGCCATCCCAAGAAATTTCCTACATTAGTCAATCATTTCAAGAGATAAAGATGATCTCTGAATGTGGTAAACAGCAGGATGACAAGAATAATTGTAGCCCTAGCAGGTTTGGCTCAGTGGATAGAGCGCCCGCTTGTGGACTGAAGGGTCCCAGGTTCGATTCCGGCCAAGGGCACATACCCGGATTGTGGGCTGGATCCCCAATAGGGGGCATGCAGAAGGCAGCCGATCAATGATTCTCTCTCATCACTGATGTTTCTCTCTCTCTATCCTCCCTTCCTCTCTGAAATCAATAAATATATTTTTAAAAAAGAATAATTGTAATGGTAGGACCATCAGCACAGAGTCCACAGGCTCCTGCGGTAAGTTAAAGAGTCAACGCCAAGGAAAGCACCTGTGCACATGAGCACCCTCCGGCGAGGATAAAGGGGGCACTGTCACCAGCACCCGTCCTGCCTCAGGTTGGGTACAAGAGTGCCCTGCCCTGCCCTTACCTCCTCGTCCTTCTCCTCTGGCCCCTGGGCCTCGCCAAGGCTCAGCTGAGGGTGGCTTCTGGACCCGCTGTCCTCACCGCCTTTGTCACACGCGTCTCGCACCGAATCTGGGAAGGGCCCGGCACCTTCCGCCCTTTCGTTGCTGTTACTGTCCGCTGAACTCAGGGACAGTGCGCTGAGGCTGTTGGGGTCCTTCCCTGTGCCGGGGCTCTGCGGGCTGGGGGGCTTGGGAGCGGTGGGCCTCAGGGGTGTCAGAGACTGCTCGGGTCCCAGTGTAAACTGGCCGCCAGGTTTGGGTTCCGGGGAGTCTTCGCGTGCTCCGCTCTGGGCCTCGAGAGGAAACACCGCGGTTTCCACGTCCACGTGGGCGCCCTGCGGCCCCGCTGGGCCGAAGTCCGGGGCCGGGCCGGGCCTCCTGGCCTCGGGCTCCGCGCCGCTGGACGCCCGGCGCGAGTAATCGTCGTGCAGGCGGCTGCGGGGCCCGGGCCGCGGGGCGGCATCGCCGGGGCAGGGCGCCTCGCCCTTGGGCCGCTGCTCTCGCTTCCAGGCGGCGTCAGTGGCGCTGCTCACCAGCCTGAGCACCCGGTCCCAGTCCTTGGCCCGGATGGGGCTCTTCCAGCGTTTGGTCCTCCGCTCAGACCCGGACCCGCCGAGCTTCTCGGAGTCTGCAGAGCAGCTGCTGAGCGTCCGGCGGGGCGCGGGGCGCTCGGGCGTGCGCAGGTCGGAGAGGTTGGAGGCGGACTTCCGCTTGAAGGAGCTCTTCCTAAGGAAGTTGAGGTTGTCGGTGCTCTTGCTCCTTCGATAGGCGACGCCGTTGTGCTCCGCGTCCTGCACGGGGACGGCGCACCCCGGGAGCTCCGGGGGGCCCGGGGGCTCGGGCGGGCCCAGCGGCTCGGCGTCCCGGAGGCTGATGCGGCCCAGGCCGTAGGCGCGGCGCAGGCTGCGGGAGCGGTGCGTGCTCCTCTGGAAGGCGTCGTCCGCCTCCTCGGGCTCCGAGCCGTCGGACGCGGGCCCGGGCTGGGGCTGGGGCTGGGGCGGCCCGCCCGTGGCTCCCGAGGCCCCGCGCCCGCCGCCCGCGGGGAGGGCCACGGCTGCGCCGTTGGGGAGGGCCGGGCCCGCGTCAGACTCCGAGGCCTCCGCCTTGGGGGCATCGCACCCCTCTCTGTTTTGAATTCCTTGGAAGACGGAGGACCTCAGCTTTTTAAAGGAGCCCATCTTGCGGAAGGAGGCCAGGGCGTTCCAGGTGGAAGAGTGCCCCATCAGGACCACGGAGCGAGGCCGCTCGGCGTGGGCGCCCGCCCGCCTCCGGCTCACCGAGAAGAGGCGCACGAACTTGGCGGGGCCCGACCTGGCGTCCTGGGCTTCGCAGTCGCCGCCGCTGCATCCCCCGTTCTGACAGGCCGGGTAGGTCACCGCGCTGGGGTCCGCGGGATCCGAGGCCGAGCAGGGGATGGCGGCCACTCGCCCGTGGCCGTTCTGGGCTGTGGTCATGTTCCCGGAGCGGGAAGCCGTGGCCACAGGGCGGCGCGGCTCAACCCCGCGTGCGCACCGGTGTCCCCGGGTCCCGGGTGCAGACCTTCATCTCGGAGGCCGCTGCCCGCCCGGCCTTCACACCTGCTGCGGACATCGGGCTCCTCCTCCGTTGTGGCCACTGCCTGCAGCAGAAAACAATGCAGGATTTAGCCTTTTCCCCCACAGAAAAGCCTTTAAAACAGGGTCTAGTTATTTTGATTAATAACCGCTAATATACAAAAAAGGCATGCCCCATAAATGATCAAACGAAAAGTTATAAATTAAGTTCGAATTTTTTTCTAATTCATTTCACAAATTAAAGGGGAAAATGCAAATATACATTCCTCAAAAAAAAAAAAAAGATAATTATGGGTTGTGCATTCAATATAATGGTAAACTCCTGAATTTATTTAAACTTGTTTAAATAAAAGTTTTGAAAAACTGATGGAATAAAAGAGCCAAGGCATCATTGGCTCTTTATTGAACAAAGAAATTTTGGCCAGGCTGGTATGGCTTAGTGGTTGAGCCTTGACCAGGAGGTCATGATTCAATTCAGGGCCAAGGCACATTCCAGGGGTTGCTGGCTCAATCCCCAGTGGAGGTGTGCAGGAGGCAGCCGAACAATGATCCTCATCATTGATATTTCTATCTCTCCCTCTCCCTTACTCTCTGAAATCAATAAAAATGTATTTTAAAAATAAATAAATTTTGAGTTTAATTTATAATTTTAAAAGCAATGATTTCAAAACGTATCACAGCGAAATGTCAACTTAAGTATATCGATAAAACAGCTAGTGGGCAGACTGAGTGCTTAGTATGTACAAAAACTAGTGCAAGATGCTCTCAGCTGCTTACCGTCTACAAAATACCCCAAAAGTCTAATTAGAGCTACAAAATGCTACAGGAACATGAGTGGGAGGGACCAAGTTGAGGTTGCATTAGGTCAACTTTATGAAAGAAACCACATTAGTGAGGGGCTTCTGTCAATGGTATTCTAACTGGCTAAGGAATGGAGAGAGACATGCATATAATACTGAAGTACTAGAAATTCAGAAACAAAAGTTCAAATTAAATACTCCACCTTCTTCCTTCTTCCACATGTCCTGGAGCCCACCACACACCTGGGTCCATGTTGTCTGCCCCCCACCCCAGCCCCAAGTGAAAAGCCTGCTTTCCTTAACTCTTTTCATCTAGCCAAATCCTCCACAGCCTTCAAGAGCCAGCTTAAATGGTACAGTCCCCCAGTTCTCAGTGACTGGTGAATGAATGATCATAATAATAACCATAAAAGGCTACCACTTATTAAGTACATGTCAGGCCCTTGTACTAAGTGCTTTAAGAAACAACATGCAATCCTAAGAGGTCAATAGAATAATTTGCATTTCATTGATAATCAAATGGATGCTTGGGCAGACTAGGTAATCTGTCAAGGGACCCTGCAGCTGCCCCTCCAAAGCCTATGCTCTTCTCCTTTGCTTCAAACTCATGAACAAACGGAAAGGCAGAGGAGGGATGTGCAATGCAGATGTCTGACTCCAAGTTCAGTGCCTCATGCCATAACCCTGCTTTAAGTCAAATCCCAGAAGTCCTTATGGGACCGGTCCTTATGACTCCAAAGGTAAAATTAAAAGCAAAAGCCCTCGCTTGTTTTTCTCAGTGGATAGAGCATCAGCCTGTGGACTGAAGGGTCCTAGATTCAATTCCGGTTAAGGGCACGAATTTCTAATAGGGGCAACATGCTTTTAAAAGGGCCTCTAGTGGAGTAACAATGATTGTCTTATGATTTGTACTGGATTGTAAACAGGCAGGAACCCTTATTGTGTAACCTGGCTGGACAAAAAGAGATCACTAAAACAACTAGAGGGCACTAGGAGACCTTTTATAACCCAGGATGAAACTGTGTTAAGCTGATCCTTAGGGCTAAAGGGGTACAGGCAAGTGCTTGATCTAATGTTGGGTAGTTTGAGAATGTTCTATGGAAGACCTGAGCCAGGCCTAGGTTCTACACTCAGTTCTGTCACATGAATCTTAAGTAAAGTCATTTCAGGAATCTGTGCTTCAGTGTCATCTATAAAAGAAGAGGTGCCAACATTTATGTATATAACAGCCAACTAATCAATTCCTGAGCCGCTATTGGGCACAATGATCTTGCAGGCCCTGTGATAAATCCAAGGCAATGACAAGGTGATGGTCCATCCCAGATAGGAAACTGGAATGAGCAAAGAAGAGTAAGGAATATAGGTATGACTGGGAGACGGTATATTTGGGTGGCCAGCTATCCCAATTAGCCGAGGAGTGAGATATTTTCCAGGATGTGGAACTCCCATGGCTGAAACTGGGAAAGTTCTTAGCAAACTCGGAAGACTGGCCACCCTACATTAAGTAAAATAATATAGTTGGAAGGCTGGCTTGATGTAATATAGTAGAGAAATAAAGGTGAAAACAGGCTAAGCCTACACACCATTAGTCTATCTAACACTTTGAGACTGCCTGCAGGTGTCACCTTCTTTAGGAATTCCTTCCTGATCTCACTCAAATTAATTAAATCCCTTATTCTATGGGTTACAGATATCTCCCCAAGTTGCTTTACCCAAACATATTTCAATGATAGGTTTATATGGCTGCCTTCAGAACAAGACTGTACTCTTAAATAGTAAAAACGATGTACTTTGCACACTTAGATTATTTAAAATTATCTTGATGTGAAATTGTATCAAATTCTCCTGCCTTGTCAATATCTGTACCAAGGTAACAATTCATTACTATAAACCACTATTATTTTTCCACTGTGAAGATGTTTAGATTTTTACAATACTAAGAAGTCTAAGTAAAGCTTAAGTTTTAGGACAGAGATCCAGTAAAATACATGCAGAAAATCTGTTTCTAATAGGGGCAACATGCTTTTAAAAAAAAATCATTGCCTTACTATTTCGTTCATGTAGCTGAACAATGTGATTGTTGTGTGCTACTTGGAAAGAAACTGAAAATCACGGAAGAAAGCTTTTCCTGGAATTTCCAATAACACCAAGTTGCATTATTTAGAACTAACACTTTGACCTCTATTAACAAGGATTGCAATTCAGTCAGTGGTTTTGTAGCAAGGCTTGTAAATTGTGGGAACTCTGCCAGAGATATTTATGAAGAGAACTACAAGAAGGACTTTTAGATGGGAATATTGTGAAATCCATTGTCTAACAAGCTAGGTTCTGGGGTGTATGAACTTTGGAATAGAACATTTTAGTCATAATGAGAATTCTCTGAAAACAACTATGATCAGTACTTGTTAAATAAGAACTTGTACTTGAATTTGAAATTCAGGAATATATATCAAGTTAAATGTACAAACAAGAAGGTTTTTGTAATATGTTGGTGTAGATAAATTATAGGAACTGTAACACTGAAAAACAAACATTGAAATCTAATGCTGAAGGATGAAATCAGAGATGCTAAAGGAGTGAAAGTATAGATCCTTGAATCACAGCACTACAGAGCTAAGGAACATGTGACCACTAATTGTAAACATTAGGATACTGGGGCCCAGTGGGTCAGCCTACTGTAGGTGAAAGCACAGTGGGCTGGGAATCAGAGGGACCAGATTCTGACACAGCAGTGCCACCTACTGGCTAACACCTGTTGGTGGTCCTAGACTTCCTTCCCCTCCCTCACTAGTCACCAAGTGTAAGAGATTCTGGCTCAGTGTGGGCTGCCTCCACCTTAATTCCAGCCTTTAGGACCTTCACCTGAATGACTGCATTAACCTCCTGACAAGTCTCCTGTCCTCTGGTCTGACTCACCTCCAAGCCACAGTGAACTTCCAAACTGCAAATGGAGTGGTGTCACTTCATCTACTGTCATCGACTACCCTTGGAGATGTTGAGATGTCAAATCACCTAAGCCTAGCACTCAAGACAGAGAGCCTTTCTCATGTAACTATGCTCTGGGATATTTTCTTGTTTGCTCCGGAAGTTTTTCTCCAGCCATTTTTGCCTCTCTGTAGTGAAGGCCCTACACTGTAAGGAACCACAATCCCCAGGCTCCTGTAACAAGTGGCTTCTGGCCAGGTTGGCCAGTGAGCAGCACTGGTGGGACGTGCCAGGGTGTTTCTCCCTGTGTGGGCTGCTGCAGGGGCCTTTCCAGCAGCTCTGAGGCTATTCCTTGGTTCCAACTCCTGCTGGGCAGCTCCTCCTTCCAGGTGGCAGTGTCCAAGCTCAAGTAACACCAACTCTTCCCTGTATCTCTCCAGGCTACGGGTGGCAGCATCTTCCTGCTATTGCTATCTGAGCCTCACTGTCTTCTCTTTTGTTTCTCAGCTGTGTAAAAATAATCTCTGGATTAATTCTCTTTGTTTGAAATACCTAGAGAAGTTTCTCTTTTTCTGACTGATAGATATGTGCTTTGCCTAACTTTCATTAATTCAAATAAACTTTTCCCTAGAAGAACTCTTTCCTTCCTATCCAATCCAGATGCCCCTTCTGCATGGGCTCACAGCACCTCCTCAAGCATTTATTTTAGCACTTACCACACTGCTCTGTAATTCTGGTTTTTCTGTCTGTTTTCTCCACTAAATTCTAAAAAGGTTGAAAAGTTCTTTCATAGCAGAAAGCAAATCTTATTTAACTCTGTTGTCAGCAGTCAGTTTTGATCAGCTGAGGATAACACTACTTCTTTAGCATAACTTAGCTGTGTCAACCTAACATTTGGGACCAGATAATTCTTAGTTGAGAGGGCTATCCTATGCATTGTAGATATTTGGCAGTATCCCCAGCTACTGCCTTAAAATGATGCTATTAGGAAGAAGAAAAATGAAGTATAGAGAAAACCATGGAAGTGCCATGAGTTAGTTTCATGGTGGTTTCTATAAAACTATTGAAATTTATTATTTTCAATCATAAAACAGTGTTCTAATTTATTCTTTGATGGTACTGATAAAAAAATTTAATGATAATATTGTTAGCAGCTACAGTTTCTGTGGTCAAAAGCTCAGCCTAATAAATGTTTATATTTCATAATTACAATAGTTGTGTCTAATTTCATAAATGTTTTTTTATATATTCTGTTAAAAAAAGAAAATTTGATAACATAGGAGAGTAAATACCAACATATCAATAGTTATACTAATT